AGGAGGAAGCACTGACAAGCACGCTCCTGAACAGCCTGCCCCTCGCAAGAGGAAGTGGGAGAAACCACATGGCTCCTCCTCAAGGCCCTCGGCCTGCTTCCCACTGCACTTAAAACCCAAACTGACCGCCGTCTGCGGCATCCTCCCAGCCGGCTCGCCCCTCGCCGCCGCCCAGCCACACTTCCACCGTCACCAGCTGCCACCAAAACCGGCTCAGTCCCCTCATCCCGCGGGCCTCAACTCCACTGTCACCCAAGAGAAACCCTTCCTGCTAACCTACCTTAAAACAGCACACACCCCACCCGTGCTTTGCCTTGCCAGCTCTTGTCACAGTTTGCAAGCACAGGTTCATTATGTCTGTCAACATCGCTGCTGCCTATCTTCCACAGTGGCCTGGCAATGCCTCAGGGCGGGACTTTGATTCCTTGTTCACCGATGTCCAGGCCAAGATTAGCACAGTGTCCATCACATGACAAACACTGGTACATAGTTTTTGAATGGAAGAAAGGATCCAGCAAATAATGGAAGAAAGAAAGAATGGCGGAAAAGAGTGCTTTTCCTTCATCGAGAAAAGCACTCCCCAGAAATTTGCTAAGACAGTAAATCAAATGTTAAGTGTAATTATCAATCAATCAGTCAATCAATAGAATGGGAGAAAAATTTTGGAGGTAAATTAAATATGATGGCATAAATTGTGCCAATGGTTTCATGAGTTTATACTCATCGACAAAGTCATCAAGTTGTATGTATTAAATATGGACAGTTTTTTATATGTCGATCATATGTCGATCAAGCTGTTTTAAGAAAAGAAAGGAAGGAGGGAAGGAGGGAGGAAGGGAGGAGGTAGGAGAGAGTTTCAGAAATCATTTCTCTACTTACTTGACTCCTAATATTTTCAGGCAGGCAGGCAGGCAGGCAGGCAGGCAGGCACTCCCTGCGAATTCTAAATGCCATTCCTCTCCCTCCTGCTGCCGCCCCATGACCATGGACAGCTCCCTGAGGCACTCAGGCGCACCTTCCCAACAAACCAGGGAGCTTACAGAGAGTAAAGACTGATGTCCTTTTGAAATCTCAGGACAAGTGAGACAGCACCTATGGCTGTCAAAGAGCACAAGCAGCACCCACACCCACAAAGCAGCCTTCAAACCTCAGAAGAGACACTTTACAATGTCGCACCTTTCTCTGGCAAACTCACTGGGCACCCACCTGCCACCACGCACCACACTTCAATTCTTCCTCGACCAGGGGCACACACCTGATTATACCCCATACACCCAAAGCCCACAGTCATGGAGGAGCAAACACAAGGCACTGCCACAACACACAGGCCCACAAGTCGTCCCAGTATTGGAGGAGTCAGCTCAGAAAGTACTTACTAATTGTCATCGATTCTGGCACCGAGGCAGAAGGTAACAGGCTGCTCAGAGGACTTCCTTGGCCTGGAGGACTGGCTTCCACGCTGGGAAAAGGCAGGTAGAAGGAAGTTACACTCGGCTACTTACAGTGCACAGCCTCACCATTCAGGACACCAGCTGGTGCCGAGTTTGCCCGGCACCCACGAGGGGAAACAGAGGGCATCGCCTTGAAATTAGTCGGTCCTCAGTATCTGCGGATTCCGTCTTTGCGAATTCGCCTGCTCACTAAAGTTTATGTGTAACCCCAAAATCAAGATCCATGGCGCTTCTGAGGTCACTCATGAACATGCACAGAGTGACAAAAAATCTGAGTCACCAGATGCGCATGCTCCCAGCTGCCCTCAACAAGGTGAGCTCTGCCTTCTTATTACAACTGTCATACTGTACATGTGTCCTTTGGGGGACTATTGAGTGCCACATTTTTTCACATTCATGTGCTTTTTTGGGGGGGGGGGGGATTTTGCTGTTTAAAATGGTCCCCAAGACTGGGGCTAAAATGCTCTCTGGTGTTCCCAAACTCAAGAAGGCTGTGATGCCCATTACAGAGGAGACACCTGTGTCAGGTAACCTTTGTTCAAACATGAGTTACGGTGCTGTTGGCCATGAGTTCAATGTCAATGAACCGACAGTACATGTTAAATAAGGTGTCTTTAAACAGGAACAGACATGAAACAAAGTTCGGTATTGACTGAGTGACAAAACTGTGGTGACCAGAGGCTCACAGGAATGTAATCCTGCATTTCCCCTAGGAGCAGTGGTACGGTCTTCATGGTGACTTTACAGGACATAACTACCACAAATAGTAAGAATGGACCGTACACTTACAAAGAATTTGCAACCTGGCGAAATGAAATATTTTTTATGAAAACAGCAGGGCCATAATATGATTAAAATACACATGTACATACACACACAGACACTCACAGACACACAGACACGTGACTAGGAGAAAAAGGACCAAAATATCAACAGCAAAATGGAGTTGGGGGTTAAGAGTGATATTTTTTTCCACTTAATGCTGCATTTTCCAATTTTTGTAAAATAAACAGCAAAAAGGACTCAGAGTCCTGGATGGGGTTGGTGACACCGATCCTTCCTGGCATCGTACTAGTTGGTACAAGCCTCCTACAAGCAGCGACCTTTTCAGAGAGCAGAGCCCCGTCTACTCAGAGTGAGCCTACAACGCCAAGCGTGGTATGGCGTAATCATGAAGCCCGGCCCGGAGCTAAAGCTGCAAACGCAGACGTGACATCTCGCAAATGAAAACCACGAAGAGAAAGAAGGAAAAAACAGTAACGGCAACAAGAATCATGAAGCCTAAGGGTGACTCTGGTGTCCACCTCAGCTCTGCCACCAAACAGCCAGTGACTTCGGGCAACTCACAGTCTTCAAAGCTTTTATTAGAAATTCAATGTGGTGCTTATTACTATGTGCCAGGCTAAGCACTTCCCAGACATATGCTATCTAAGTGGCTTAAATATTACGTAATATTAAAACTGTTTGATATTATGATCAAATGTTAAAATTAAGCAAACGGTGACAGAGGAAGTTCCCAGATATGGCCCCAAAAGTGCACAAAACAAAGGTGGTATGCAAATAAAGTGTGACGAATCCTTGAAGTTTCTTAGAGAAGCTAGTGCTCAGGGACCCTTGGCACCGTCACAATCTGTGACGTTATAACCAAGCACGAACACAGATACGAGGTAAGGCCTTGCCCTCTAATCCTAGTGGGTGCCCTCCTGGCTTTAAAAAGGAATAAACTGCTGAGGATAGTTCGACCCCGAAGGCCACCTGGCTTCTGAGCACTAACCTGTACCGAGGCCCGGGCTCCAGGCGAACACGGTCCTCGGCCCCCGTCCCGTTCTCTAAGCTTCCGAGAGGGGCATCTGTATACAGAGAGAAATCACAGAGAGAAAGTCAGGTTTCCGTTTTCATTTCATTTCATTTTCTCCATGACACAAGGACACAATGCAGACAGAGGCGAAATCAGTTGACTCAGAAATGTTTTCCTCATTGGCACACTGGATTTTTATCTGCTACTCGTTTCAGTTTTGGGCCCATAATCTCAGATTTTGCATCAGTCATAAGGCCCCATACTCTCGCTTAACTTTTTTGACCCTGAGCCACTTAGAATCACCCCTGATTCAGAGCCAACCTCAGAATCAAGGAATAAGTCAGCTTTCTGGTACACAAAATTGCTCCTGTCTGTAGTGGCTCAAGACAGACACAAGAGGGCAGCATGGTCTAATCGCTGACAGAATCTGCTCGGATCAAAACAACTTTGACAGCTGCTTTCTAAAGAGCCACTTGCCCTGCATTAAGTGACATGTGGGGAAGGCATCTGGAGGAAGTGAGGCCACAAATAATCTCTAGAAACAATAGGCAAGAGGCACTAAACTTTTTTATAAATCTATTAGCTGCTGTTCAAGTCTCTTTTCAGGAACAAGTATAAATTTTGTGTTCCTTGGGCTAGATGGTGACTTTAAAGCCGGTATTACCCAAAACATTCGCTCACTGGAGACACTTCTGGCTTGTCAATGTCCACCACAAAACCAGGTCTGGGTTGGGACAGGGGATGGGAGGGAGCACATCTGGTTCCCCTAAGCCATCTGTCACGGCCTCCTCTGTGTCATTCCTTCCGTTTATGCTGCTTTTGTCCTGTTCAAGACTCCCCAGGTCTAAGGGGCTGAACTAAGGGAACTCTACGGGAGAAAAAATGGTTTTTAACCTTTTTTCATTCTGCTGCACCCATCAAGCTATCCCACTCATTCCTCACTCTTTCAAGAAGTTTGAAGAAACTAGCGCTGCCTCTCCGCCTGCCCGCCCCACTCTCTAGTACCGTGGCCGGTTAGTGCTGTGGGGTGCGAGCTCTGCCCCACAGCCTGGACTCAAGCTCTGCTCCCCAGCTCTAATCCAGTAAGACACCTAGGCTCTTGGTGCCTCAGTTTCCTCATCTACCAAATGGGAAGACAACATTTTAATAATGCCGTCCACATAATGAAATTGTAATATGTGAAAGACCCAGTAAGAACACTCAGGGAGCGATGGCTAGCATCGACTCGCTCAGTAGCCGAGCTTGCCTACCACAGGCTCTCACCCTCCCAGTCACCTAGAACTGCTCTCAATTGGACCCCAAGGAACTCCCTCCTTAGGCCCCTCCCCACCTTCCCAGAGCCAGTGACAAGGTTAAGCAGGCACTCCTCCCTGGGGATCTGCTCTCACCGTTCTCAAAGCACTATTCCTTGGTCCTCCTCCCCGACCATCTTTTCCCCTGAGTCCTGAGCAGAGGTGTCCCTGGATCACAGCCTCAATCCCCCTGGTGAATCCAGCAAGGTCTTGGCTCCCACTCTTATCTCTGTGAGATGACAGCTCTCAAACTCTTGTCTCTGGCTAGGTCCAAAATCTTGCATCCTAGTCCCACATTTCTGCCTACCAGAAAGCTCTACTGGGACATCCTTCAGGGCCCACCAGCTGACCATGACCTTCAAAACCACTCCTCTTCCGTCACCACTTCCCACTGGGCTGTAACCTCAGAAGAGCATGGCACTCATCCTCCCTGCCGACACAGAGCTGCCTGGTGCCTCAGACCTGCCAGTTCCACCTAACTACCTCCCACTCCTTGCTCACTAGCCGTCTCCATGGCCACCCCAGCTCAAGGCTCAACACCTTCCAGGGGTCTGCTGTGCAGGTTTCTTCAGTCCTGTCCCATGTGCAGCTGTCAGATTCTACTCCTGGAAGCAAGGACAGAGCCTCCGACATACACATGGAAACGCACAGCTGGAGTAAAGGCCGACATCACCCACCTGCACCCCAGACACAACGCCTGCTCGGCCCGAGTGGATTTCCCAACGTAACACATGCCCACGACCTGCTGACAGCGGAGGTGGGCCTAAGGCACTGGGGACACAGCAATCCCAGAGACGCAGACTATTTCACTCACCCCCAGGGCCCCCTCGGAGGCGGGTGCTACTATTATCTTAATTTTATAGATGAAGAAATGGACCTCGTTGATTTATTTGCGTGATTTTTCCCAGCTAACACAGCTAAAGTGTGAGGACGTGAACCCGGGTCTGGCCGATGGCAGAGCTGAGCCTTTGCCCCTTCGGTCTCCCGCTCGGCAGATCTGAGACGCCCGCATTTCCCTCCTTCCCACAGCCCTGGTGTTTCTGCCTCTATTCCTTTGTCCACACTGTGTCCCCAATCAGAAATGATTTTCCCGACTGCCAGATGTGCACTCCCTACAGCACGCCCACATCCCCACCTACAGCGTCCATCCACTTCCTGCTCAGCAAAGCCTTCCTGAGCCCTCGCTGTGGGCCTGGCTCTGGTCAGGGTCACACTGGAATCAAGACAGCCCTGCCCTCGTGGACCTCCAAGACCAATCGGAGAGACACGCATTTTTAAGTAATTACACAAACACACGATCACAAACTGAGACCAGAGCAAGGGAGACGCACCGGTTGACAACAGCATGAGACACGAGGCCTGGGGAGAGGCGCCTTCCATAAGACAGTGGCACCTGGGCTGCCACCTGAAGGATGCGAATAGGTAGGGTAAGGAAGGCAAGAGGAGCAGGAGGAGAGAAATGATGGGAGGCTCCGTGCAATGAAGCGGAAGCAGGCAGGTGTGGCTGGGGACCCCAAGAAAAAGGGAAACGGGAGGAGAGGAGACTGCTGCGTTGAACGGGGGCCTGGCTGGCCGCGGTGAGGATCCTGGATTCTACCCTAAGTGTGGTGGAAGGCTTGGAGCAGGGAGATGAGGCAATCTGATTTATATTCTAAAAAATAGCTCCGGCTGCTGAAAAAAAAAAAAAATGGATGGGGTGGCGGTGGGCAGGCAGGGGTAGAAACAGAGAGGGCACCGAGGGGCTATTTTGCAATACCCCAGGCGAGAAAGAAGGCTGAGTTAGAACAAGGTGGTGAAAGCACCCAGTACACACTTAGACCATTCATTCCTTTCTCCTTTACATCCGATCATTAAAATGATGTCCTTGTCCCCTCCTCACATGCAAAACTCCAAGAGGGACTCGCTTTTGGACCCCCGGAGCCTAGAGCAGTGCTGACACAGAGCAGGATCACCCACTATTGAGCAAAACACCCATGAACCCTAAGTGACACACAACCCACAGAAATGGGGTAGAAATCACACAATACAGGCCCTGTGGCCACCACAGTTTCATAACATTCCAAACAGTAAAATTAGTCCCTGGGAGCCAAGCTCTGAAGTCAACCATCTCAGATCAGAGCAGCAGCACGACAGGCCCCCCTCACCTCCCAGCGAGCAACTCGGAAGACCCAGTGGCAGGACGAGGAGAAGCTGAAGACCATGAGAGCTGATGAAAGGTGAGGGAAGAGGACCCGCGCTCTCAAATGAACCGTCACCGTCGGAAACTGCCTCGCGTTTGCTAAACCCAGCACTAAATGCAGGCCCCGCGGTGAGGGCACAAGCCATGCTGGTGTCGCACGCACAGTGAGTAGCCACGGGTGCTTTGGTCACCTCCATTTGTTATTGTCAGTTGAAAAGGACTTGGGGGACCCTCTCTCCCCTGCAGGCTCAAAATGACGGAAAGGTGGTAAAGATGCAACTAATACACGTGTCCGGAGGAATGACTATCCAGTCCTCCACCTGCTTCTCAGGGTCTCGTGTGACCCCTGGCTGGCATCTCCCTTCGCTGAGCCCCTCCCTAACCCCAGAAATGCAGCCCGAGGCACAGCCCCCTCATCTATAGAGCCGCCTCTTCCAAGATTCAGAAGGATAATAATTCTGTATTCAGGGTCCCCTACCCTGTCTCCCTCCCAAGACTTGGCTACCAAAACATTCATCCTTCCCTGCCACATCCCTCTCTCCCTTTTCTATCCTCCCCCCACCCCTTCTCTACACATCCCCAAAGGCAGTGACAGTAGAGGCACTAACATGTTCAAAGATGAAGGGAAAGTGTCCCAAGGGAGGAGCCTTCTGCATGCAAAGTCACCACTAGAGACACGAAATGGCCCCCCCAGCCAGAACGAGAAAGAATATGCTAATGTCTGTCGCTCAGGTGGCGGGGTGTCAATCAGAAGGGTTACTAGTGGAACAGAGTGGAAGAAAAGAAGTCTGGAAGGGCAATGCAGCCCTGCCAGAGGCCACGGGGGACGGTCCCCTGCAGGCAGGCCGGGCCCAGGAGGGATTCTATGCGATTTGGTATTCAGTGACGGACGTAAGGGATCCTGGGGTCTTCAGGGCGCCCCAGAATAACCTGCCTCCCCACGCTGTGCTCCCACCCACAGCGAGTTGGCCCCCGAGCTGTCACAAGCTTCCAAGACTCCGGGCAGCTTTGTTCCTGTGGCAAATAAAAAGCTGGCAGACCAGCTCTCACACAGCATCTCTGGGGAGGGCACTTGATAAGCTGGAGCTCAGGTCCCAACAACAGTGACAAATTAGGGCCTCTGCGTCCGTGAGGCCATCAGCCAGAGGTGGGACCGTGGGACCGTGGGAACACAGCGGGATGTTTTCTCTTGGGGACCCTGGAAGCTGGCCAGAAGCCACTTCCCCCGGAGACGCTGATGTACAGAAAGCCCAAACAGGGAGGAAGAATGCCAGGTTCTATAAGGCGAAACCCCGACCTGAATGGCAAATAGCATTTGGGAGCAGCCAGCCGTCCGCCCCCAGAGTCTGATGGTTAGAGGCGCCCAGCTATGACATGAACAAGCCGCTGAACAAAACAGACTGCCCAGAGCACACACTGACCAGCCCAGCGATACTTCACAGCCCGACTGGAAGGTTCCTCCGACCAGGATCGGGACAAGGCGAATGCGGAACTGGATGACGGCTTGGAAGCCATGAACAAAAACGCTGGCGACTCTGCAGCAGTCCCAGACACACATTAGAGCCACATTCTGCGCACGTCTGCACTCCCACTCAATTCTTGAACCAAGGACAGTCACCTGAGTGAAAGGAGCTACCGGTGCTGGCCTGGACCGCAGACATGAGCGAGGCTTGCCAGACCGGCCTCCTGGGGATTTCAGCTGAGACCCAGAGAGAAGTGCTGGTTGGGATGGAGGTGCCCGGGGCTGAGGCGATGATGCTGGCACCTCGGCCAAGCACAGGCCAAAAGGGGAGGGGGCGAGAATGACGAGGGAGCAGGGACAGACCAGGAGAGAGAGGAGACAGGGGCAGATCCCTGTAAGAAAGAGTGGGGGCACAGAGTGAGAAGACAGAGGGACCCCACCAGGTCAAGAGGCCTCTCCCTTCTGAGCCCGGCTCCCAGGCCCATGGCGGCCCAGCACGCTGTGGTCCCAGCGGTGCCTCCAGGGGGCCTTGGCGTGTGCCTGGCACCCTTCGCCATAAACCTGAGAGGAAGGTGATGTAATAACGGCCACCCCTTCCTCCTGGGCTGCGGTCAAGAGAGTGACTGCGTTTACCTGGTCAGTCACCCTACGCTCTGGACTCACTGCAAGGGCTTGGTAGGTGTGCATTATCATCACCACCACCCACTTTCCAGAAAGGGCGACGAGCCTGGCGTAAGTCTCAGCCCCGCACTCTCATGAGCCACGATGCACACAGGGAGCCCTGCTCGGAGCCATAACCTGCCCAGCTCCCACAGCCACCTGAAGCGGGACTGCTCTGACCCCGCTCTAGACGGCTGCCAGCCAACAGCCCACCTGCCTCTGCCCTTGGGCCAGCTTGAGTGCGTTCGGAGCCATAACCTGCCCAGCTCCCACAGCCACCTGGAGCGGGACTGCTCCGACCCCACTCTAGACGGGGGTCTGCTCCCTGCACGGTGACAAGAACAACGGTCCATCGTGCGGTTCAGAATGAGCAGCTGGTGAGCCCCCGTCAGTTTCTTAAATCTGGCCCTGGGAAGATGAGAAGGGCACTCACATCAGGCCCATCCTCGCTGACCCGGTGGCGCTGTGGGGAAGTGACCGAGCACATCATTGTGCCAGGCACTGAGTCAGCGGCACTGCACGCCCACGCCTCGGGGTGGGCCAGGCTCGCCCACGTGCGCCCCACCCCACCGCTCCCCATAAGCTGCTCCAGCTCACGACAGTAACAAAGCACACACAAGTCAGCTCGGCAGCACGGAACAGGTCAGGACTGCTGCCCGCTCCACAGGCAGGTGTCAGACAGCCATCTCTCGGGCACTCTGCTGCTAAGGCTGCCAGGGCCTTCAGAGCTATGGGTCTGTCACCTCCCTCTTCCTAAGCTGTGGTCAGCTTTACATGACTAAGTTCAACAATTCACTGGCAAGAAAAAAACAGGCCTGAGGGCCCCCTGGTGACTTGCCAGCCCATTCTGCCCAACAGTCACTTAGGCGCAAAGCACCCAGGCTCAGCAAGAAGCAAAGCCAAGCCCTCTGTCACTTCTGTCTCCACAAGCCCCTGCTGCCCTGGGCCCTGGCTTCCCTGCTCCTACCCCTCCCGGCAGAGGTGACCCAGACACCCCTGCTGGTTCTCGGAGCCCAAGCTCCCGTAGAAGGAAGGAGCAGTCCAGAAACATCCACTAGAAACACTCACCTGCAGGGCTGTAGGATCCCACTCCGCTGACCAGAAAGAGGACGTCAGTGTCACCGTGTAGCACCTGCAGCGGAGCCCAGCTGTGCCTCTGGGAGAGGCAGGTGTCCCCGTCCAGTGGCCTACGGGGGAAGAGTACAGCTGTGTGACAGGATGCAGGGCCCCTGAGGGTTCGGGTCACCCACAAGCCTCCACTGGGCCTCCTACAAGTTCCTCCTTGGGAACTAGCCAGGCCGTGACGGAGCTGAACACAGCAGGGGACGCGAGCCAGGGGCCGGGAGCACGGAGTCCGGAGCCAGACCCACTGCGTTTGTTCTTTCGACCGGTTTACTGAGGTCCTACTGTACGCCGGGCGCTGTGCAGCGCATATATTTTGTTCTGGCAAACAAGCCGGCAGTGTTTATCTGGCCCTCATGAAGCTGACCATCTGGTGGGGCACATGGACGTGAATCAGTGTGCCCCCAGACGGTGTACAATGGCAGGAAGGTGGGGGAAAGTGTCACGGGAGAAGGGCGGTCTGAGGTGAGAGCTGAAGGGGGGGCAGAGCTGCCCAAGTAAAAAGGAAGAAGAGAGACGGAGAGGGGAGCAGACGTGCAAAGCGCGGAAAGGGGAGAAAGCGCGGTGTGTTCCAAGCTCTGAAATGATGGCAGCCACGTGACCTTGGGCTTGTGCCACTTCACCTCACTGGATCTCAAGCCCTCCCAGGTAAAAGGGCAGAATCAGACCAGAGCGTGTCCGGGTCCCTTCGAAAAAAGGAGGTCAGCTCGGATATTCACCAGGCTCATACCATCTGCTGTGCTGTCACCTTATCCACAGAGTACAGAACTAACCTGTATGACCTTTGTGACACCAGGCTGGTTCAGTGGAACTCATCTGAGAAAGGATTTGCCCACTGTAGCATGTGCCTTTGGGCAATTAGGAAACACTAATAAATACCAGGAAGTATTTGTGCAGTACTTCAAAGTCTATAAAATCACTTTGTAACTCGAATGTAAAGAAGATAAAAGCAGATCGTAATCATCTCTACCTAATAGAGGAAGGGGGGGAGAGAAGAGGGGGAAGGGAAAAAGAGAGAGGGATGGAGAGAGAGGAGGGAAGAGGGGAGGGGAGATGGAAAGGGGCAAAAGGGAGAAAGAAGGAGGAGAGAAGAAAAAATCTCAGAGATTATGTGACTTGTCCAAGGTCATCAGCCTCACGGACAGAACCAAGGCCCGTGGGGTTGGAGCCCGGGGGTTCCAAGTCCAGTCGCACAGACCTCCTGGCCACCGCCCACCACGACAGGATGTAGTTTTCCTTTCGTTTAGAGCAGGGGTGAACACAACTTTTCTGTAAAGGACCCAGTGGCAAATATTTTAGGCTTTGTGTCCATACAGATTCTTCTCTTTTTTATTAACAACCCTTTAAAAATATAACAACCATTCTCAGCTCAGGGGTGGATTTGGCCTGCGGGCGGAGCTGGCCACCCCTTCTTTAGAAGCCATCGTGTAGAGATTCTGCTTTCACCCTCTCTAGCTTTTGGTCATACTTTTGACACTGAACAAAAATCTTTATAGAATTTTGCAAAATGTATCATTTAATCCTACAGGTAATACACACATAAGACTCTTGAATGGCAAACTGGGGCGCGAAAGAGCCTGTTCTTAGATGAACCTGGCTGTGCCCCTAGAATCTGTACAGACCCGCCTTCCTGAGGCTCCGATCCTTCCGCTGGTGCCCAAGGGGACTCCAGAGGTGGTCACGGTGCCCTCAGGAGAAGGCAGCGAAAGCATCAGTGCTTTCTCTGCCTCTGCGCCCGCCCCAGGGCCGGGGAGGTAGGGGGGCATTCCACTGCTGCTGAGGGGAATCACGCCACTCCCCGGCAGCACGCGCGGGGCACGAGGTGAAGCCAGACCGCAGCAGCCGGGGTTTGGACCTCAAGTAAAAGTGGCCAAGGACCACCATGTCAAAAATGGGTTAGACTGAAGTGATTCCTGAGGCAGAGACCAATTCAAAATATGGTGCCACCATTGGCTTAAAAACATAATGATAGGTATTGCTCTTTATCAGAAAAGTAAGATATTTATTATAAAACCTAGAAAATGCCAAAAAGAGGGGAAAAATTACACCCAAATCCACGTTACCCAAAATACTACTGGGTTAGACACTATCTCTTTAGTGCCTTTTTCTTTCTGCTGCACATACTTTTTTTTACAAGGCTGTAATAAAACTAACTGCAGGATTTTACATTTGGCTTAATTCGATCCTAATTCCCAAGTTTGTCTTCATACTATTTGGACACTCTTAAATGCCATTTGAGAGGTTTAAGACCCTAAGGCTCAAATGAGAACTACCGTGCTGCTGCTGCTCTGTGCACATTCAGGTCAGCTCCAAGGTCTTGCTTCTCTAAAGAGGGACCTCGCATCTAGAAGCAGCACTTCTCCCTGGGACTCTGTCCTCAGGGTAGCCCCTGGCACTGGGACTGCTAAATCAAGTGGGATAAGCATTTCTCAGGCTCATGACATTGCGTCAAACTGTTTTCCCGAAGGCTGTCGACACTACCAGCTGTCTATGAAGATGCCCCATGGGCCAGCCTTGCCTCATCAGTTAACACCTACTGTGTGCCCGGAAGACACCAAGCCTGAGGACATACTGAGAGCAAGCCATTCCCAAGGCGCTAACCCGGGGTTCGCCTTTTGTCTAGTTTTCACTTTAAATCTTGGCAAATATGACAGGCAAATTATGGGATCTGATTTCACTTTGCGTTTGCTTAATTGCTGGTGAGGTGCAACATTTTTCCATATGTTTGTCATTCTTTTTGAATGATGTTTTCACCCTACTTCTCTATTGGTGCCATAGGACACATACGAAGTGACAGAAAAACTCCTTTCTATAATAAAGATATTATCCTCTTTTAAGAAAAAAACAAAAAGCAAAGCCAACACTTGTAAACACTGAGGCAGGAGGGATAAGATTTTCCTCGTTGGTCAAAGAAGTGGTTTAACTGCTAGGAAAAAGAGGCATAAAAACCCAACTTGTGGCCAATGGAGCATATTAAAGACAATGAGACTGACTTTGCCGGAGGCCATCGCAGTCCCGCACAGTTGTCTCCTGGCCTGGCCACTGCCCTCCACAAACCTGACTGTGCTGTCAAACTGCTAACGTTCTGGCCCCTCAGGCACCTCGGTCTCTCAAGGACATTAGCTTAGAACCCAAATGAAAGTATCACTCGGTAGGCCACCTCATCATTCCTCTGCTCTTTTCCCAAGATGCTCTGCAGAATGTTCACTCAAGACCCCCTGTTTACACCGGGAGAGGCTGCCCATAATCTGCAGGAGGCTCAGTGGCCTCGAAGGGCCTGGGCTCTGCAAAGGTCACCCTGAATTGTCCTGTGCTTTACACATCACAATGCTGGCAGCTACCTTGGCTTGCAAGCTGGGCTGCCTTCAGTGGTACCAGTCTAGAAGGAGGAGAAATGACTGTGTTTGAGGCCAAAAAAACCCACAAAGTGAATCTACTCAGAGATGCATTCAACTACAGAGACATGGAATCCAAGTGGCATTTCCTAAAAGGCCCAGAATAAGAACTAAAGGCAGGTATGATGGTTAATTTTAAGTGTCAACTTGGCTAGATCATGGTAGCCAGACATATGATCCAGATGTTCCTGGGAAGGTATTTTTTAGATGATATTAACATTGAAATCAGTAGACTTTGATTAAAGCAGATTACCCTCCATAATTTGGGTGATCCTTGTGCAATCAGTTGAAGGCCTTAACAGAAAAAGACTGAGATTCCCCAGAGAAGAAATTCTGCCAGCAAATGGCCTTAGGATTCGGACTGCAACTCCTCCTTGGGTCTCCAGCCTGTGGCCTACTCCGCAGATTATGGATCTGCCAAGCTTCACAATCATGTGAGCCAATTCCTTAAAATAAATCTCTCTAGATAGATAACTAAATAGACACACACAGACACACACACACACACACACCCTACTGGTTCTGTTTCTCTGGAGAACCTTGCCTCATACAGCATGTCACGAGACCTGGATCCCAGGTACAAAAACATTCATAGCCTGTGAGCAAAAACACAAGCAGGAAAGTTATCCTAACAAATACTTCGGAAGGAGAAAAAAGCCCTGTGCATAAAAATCTTCATGTCAGAATGGCTGATAACAAAAAGCAAAAACAAACAAAAACGCTGACAACCTAAATACTCAATAACAGGGGAAGCTTTAGCAAATCATGACATATTAATCTGACTGAAAATCAACCAAGTGATATTCATAATTATGCATAAATATGGAAAATATTCAACAGTAGAAGATTTGGAGTGTAGCATCACCTAACTTTAACCCCAGCTTCACCCATTGCTTTGAGTAATCTCAATTCTCTACAGAACCTGTTCTTTCATCTCTCGAGTCAGGGTGATACCCACTAACCTAAGGATTAGGATGAGGTATAGACGTAGCTTGCAGCATCTGGCTTATCACAGATGATGGATAAAGTAATGCTACTGATATGGGAATCCATGTGAATGAGGACCGGAGGGGAAAAAAATCAAAAACAAAACCAGGCAGAGTCTCATGAAAAAGAAAAAAACTCCTATTAAAACCACATCAAAATGAAAAGCTTGGGGCTAGAGACACACTATGCTCCTTAATCGTAGCGTGAAATCTCGATGTCTTCATTTCACTCTGATGGGTGGGCTTTGAAGTTTATTTGATGTGAAGACTGAAACCAAGCTGAATTATGCTGTCTTTCTCGAAGTGTCAACACCCATGCCAACAGGCTTACACACAGTACCCCATTAAGTTGACAACGACCCCATGAAGCAGGTATTATTTTTCTTCCAGAACCCAGATGAGGCCTGAGGCTCTGGGAGGCGAACTAACTTGTCTAGACTAGTCCAACCTAAGCCGTGGAGTGAGTAAATGAGAACCCAGTTGTCTCGATTCCAAGAACCAAGCTCTTAACTATGCTTTTCTGCTTTATGCCTTCACATGCATCCAGCACCTTCCGCAGGTATAAACCTACAGCAACTGCAGGGTTAAAGCAGCAAGTGCGGGCAAATTCATGATGGTCACAGGCCTGCAGATAAATGCAGAAATCACCAGCCCACAGCTATTCTCTAGAATAGCCCTGTTTTTCTCCAGAGTTTCCTATGCTAGTGGCAAGCCAGCGGTGGGAGGAAAATCTAGGAAACAAAAATAAAAGATGTATATATAAAGCAAAATTTTCAAGGCACACATCTTGACACTAATTTTGCAATACATATACATACCTTCAAACATACTCCCTTCCCCTCTCTTAGTTCTCAGCAAATTAATAACGCTCCTTCCTCCTAAATCAAGATCTAAAAAATGAATGACGTCCCAAACGAATATAAAACTTGTACCCTTATTTCACCCAATACTGAGGAAAGAGAAAGCAGTTAATGTAGCACCCTTTGTTAGACGCTCAAGTGGAACTTACTTCTCTGGTGACTCCAAGTGGCCTATGTGCTTCCTTCCTGACGTGTTCCTGTAGACATCGTCCCCGTTTTCATCCACGTCTTCATCATCGATGCTTTTCACATCGATCTTCTGGTACCCAAACTCCCCATTTGAAGAAAGAGAATCGATTTTCCATGAGTTGCTGCTCTGACTCCCATTGGAATTCGGCCCAAAGGGGCTTTCGAAGGCCGACACGATATTGAGGGAGGAGCGGTCCGAATTCTCCTCCGAGCTCTCCCCAGCCCCTGGTATCTTTCTAAAAACATCGCCAGAGTTCTGCTCGTCTTCCTCATCATCAAATGAAATAATGTTGGTCACTTTCTTCTTCTTCTTCCTTTCCTTTTTACATTTGGCATCTGGCAAAAGGAAAGATGTGGCATAAGAAAAATTAAGTGGTATAAAGGGATGATCGAGCGATTTTGCCACTACATTGCAGAAAATCCTCTAGTACTCTACTGAAAAATAAATTATAAGATGAATTCGGATATTTTTTAAATCTTTAAAAAAACATCTGTTTAGAGGAGACAAAATGGATGTGGGCCTCTACTTCTGATTTAAACAATTTTTGATATGTCTCCTCGGGCAAGGGAAACAAGAAAAAATAAATAAATGGGACTACATCAAACTAAAGTTTTTGTACAGCGAAGAAAACCATCAACAAAATGAAAAGACAGCTTAGTGAATGGGAGAAGATATTTGCCAATAATACATTGGTAAGAGGTTAATATCCAAACTATATATGGAACTCAAACAACTTAACACCAAAAAAACAAATCACCTGATAAAAAAATTGGGCAGAGGACCTAAATAGACAATTCTCCAAAGAGGACATACAGATGGTCAATAGACATCTGAAAAACACTCACCATTACTAATCATCAGGGAAATGTGAATGAAAACCACAGTGAGAGATCGCCTCGTACCTGTCAGAATGGCTGTCATCAATAAATTAACAACAAAGGATGTAGAGCTTGTGCATTGTTAGTGAGGCGAGGATGTGGAGCTTGTGCATTGTTAGTGAGGCGAGGATGTGGAGCTTGTGCATTGTTAGTGAGGCTGTAAACTGGTGCAGCCACTATGGAAAACAGGTTCCTCCAAAAATGAAAAACAGAGCTACCATATGACCTAGCAATTCCATTTCTGGGTATTTATCCAAAGAAATCCAAAACACTAATTCAAAAAGCATCATTGCAGCATTATTTACAATACCCAAGATATGGAAGCAACCTAAGTGTACATCAATAGACAAATGGATAAAGAAGAAGTGGTACATATATACAATATTACTCAGCCATAAAAAAGAATGATATTTTACCATTTGTGACAACATAGATGGACTAGAGGGTATTATGCTGAGTGAAATAAGTCAGAAAAATGCAAATACTATATGATTTCACTTATATGTGGACTCTAAAAAATAAAACAAATAAATAAACAAAACAGAAACAAACTCATAGATACGGAGAAAAAACTGATGCTTGCCAGATGGGAGGGGGGGTAGGAGGATGGGTGAAAAAAGTGAAAGAGATTAAGAAGTACAAATTGCCAGTCATAAAAATTGTCACAAGGATGTAAAGTACAGCATTATAATAACTATGTATGGTGTTTGATGGGTGCTAACTTACTGGGGGGATCACTCTGTAAGTTATATAAATGACTAACCTCTATGTTGTACACCTGAAACTAATATAATATTCTAAGTCGACTGTAATTTAAAAATAAATTTAAGAAAATAAAAAATAACTTAAAAAAAAATACGCCACAGAGCATATGTTAAAACTGTTCCTTCTAAGCAATCCTTCTAAACACTTTGATTCGAAGGGTGTTATCATTACTGAAATGATTTTCGGTGTTTCACTTTGGAAATGCTCTCATGCCTGGTAGATGAGACCAAGCAAACCAGTTTGGGGTTGTAGTCAATTGTTCGATGGCCACAAACTCCTCACCACCCCCACCCCCGCATAATGTCCCTTTACGATGGGAATTCGCCACTCCTCCCTTCAAGAATGGTATCTGTTTCTCCACCCCCTTGACTCTGGACCGGCTCAGAGTTCTGCCTTTACCAATGGGAATGTGGCAGAAATGTTGGTGTGTGAGTTCCAGAGCTTGGGCATCAAAGGGCCTTATACCCTCCAGAAATGCTACCCTGACACCACCACAGAAGGAAGCTCATTTAGCTTACTGGGGGACGATAGGCCATGTGTAAAAAAATGTGCCAGCCAACAGTCAGCACCAATTGCAGACACATGAGTGTGGCCATCTTGTATCTTCTAGTTCAGCTACCAGCTGAATGCAGCCCCACAACTAAGCCCAGGTGACACCGGCAGAAGAACCATCCTGCCAACTGCAGAATCATTAAAAAATAATAAACCATGGTTATTTTAAGTCACTACATTTTTTTGGAGCTGTTTGTTACACAGCAAAGACTAATGGAAACAGAAATTAAGATTGCCTTGGTTCCCACTACTTAGATGAGCCAGTTTGTTCACCCATCTTAATCATCAAAGTTGTGTGTGAGACACTGAACAAATTCCCAAAACTCCATTCCATCCAAACAAAGGTGTGACATGTTCCACCAACGTATCACAACTCCTCTGAGACAATGTCAAAACAGGGTCCCCGAAATGAATGGGAAGGGCACCCCTTTGGATATACAAATTCCAGCGTCTCTGTTACACGAAGCCCTGAGTAACCCTGTTTCTATGTCATTCGTGTGGGGTCTCTGCTCAAGAAGGAGAGGACAAATAGATAAAGCCACATGTACCAAAGACACCATGAGATTCTGAGTTGTCACCATCATAAATAATCCCAAAGGGCTCACCATGATTATTGCCTTGTCTAAGGGATCTGACAAGGACTAAGAACTTAAACTCCAAATTTCCAGTTTTACTGTAGCAACATTCTGAATGTTCCAGAAGACTCAAGGAGTATTGTAAATGTACCATAAAATTAATCTTAATTAAGTAATCTCTCCCCCTGGCCTCCACTTAAAGTCTTCTCCCCAATAAAGGCAAGCCTGATAGTGTACAGTCTCCATAGCACCCTATTTATCAGAAGGATAATTAAATATTTGTACAGTCTGTCATTAAATAGCTATCCCCACCCATCCCAAAGGAGACTGAAGGCTAAATGCCAGTAATCCGTCTTACTTGGCTCACTGCCTAGTACACAGAATGCATTAAGCGAACAAATAAATGAATGAACAAAGGAACAAATGAATGAATGAATGAAGATCAACCTCATCTGGCTTCACGTGGCCATCACACCCTCCCTTTCAGCTTGCTCTTTTTCCTCTATCATCTTCCCATTGAGGTATGGCTCCCAGATCCCACTCGGGGTGAATAAGGTTAAGGAAAATAAACAACAAACATGAACTGAAAATGCAAGCACATCAGATTTCATTCCCCTTGGCACTTCCGGGTGACAAGAGGCGTCCACCTCAGCCACAGTCTGTTGTCCTCTTACCCGACCCCCTCTGTTCTACCTGGAGTGCCCGTTCTCGCTCACCGCCACTGAGGTTCTTGGACACGACGGGCAGGGGGTCGGTCTCCTGCTCAGGTTTGATGAGGATGGAGACAGCAGAGGATGCTGTGATCTCCCGGAAAAGGCTGCTCACTCCTTGCGTGGACTCCTTCAACAAGGAGGTCATGTTCTGCGTTGACTCCTTTAAGAGGTCCGAGACGGTAGGAGCAAACTTACTCTGCCCGTTTAAATCCTTGTTGTCGATGTTGATTGCGAAGAGTATGGAGTTCAGACCTGCCCCAGAAGGGAAAAGTCTGGAATGTGTGCTGCTGAACAGAGTCCCACCTCCAAAGTGATAAACAAGTTGCAGACATCACAGTACACGCGGGAGGGCACACACTGGTCTTCGACGTTGATAAAACCTCCTGCAAAACTGGGGTCAGTAGACACCAGCTCCCACAGGAGCTGAGTCTTGCCAGATTCTCTCCCTATCTGTCAGGAGGGTGGTTAAGGTGTAAATTCTGGGGGCAGACTGCCTGGGTTGAATCCCAGCACTGCCACTTAGGAGTTATGAGCTCTTGGTCAAGCTATTTACAACCTCTCTGAGCTTGTTTCCTTATCTGTAAAATGGGGACACAGTAACCCTTTCACAGGGTAGGTATTAAAGATCATCACCCACCAAAAACATTCATCTAAGTCAGTAATCACAAAATGCACCAGGATCATCATAATTATTACTTTAGGCAAAATTGTGCACTGGTAGCCTATGGCCGACCAAGGAGATCATGGTTGAATCTGACTCTTCCTCATCAACGAACTAGACTAACATGACTCTCAGTATGTGGGACTTGGTATAAATCTTCAGGAAAGGAAAAAAAGGAAGCAACTAGGACCCGGAAGAAAGAAACAAGCTACCCAAGTTGTCTCTGTCTTTGCGTCTTTGCGTCTTTGCGTGAGAGCCAAATGATAAACAAGTTAACAATTCACCAACTAACATCTCCCCAGGGCTTTCACATTGACAAATGGTAAGGATGACTCTTTATCACATCTGATTCTCTCATGACCCTGCAAAGGTGACTGCACTGCTATCAGGATTCCTACCTCGCAGAGCAGGAAGGTAAAAGACAAAGTCCACAGGATCTGACCCAGGAAACCAGGCAGTAAGGGGTGTGGCCAGGCTTCAAAGGCAGGCCTCCCACCTCCAGTTCCCTGGGTCTTTATGTTACACCTGCAAAGCCACAGCCAAAAACCCTCAACCCCATACTTTCCCTGCCAGGGTACCAAATTCTAGATAAACGGACTCAATGCTCCATGCCACTCAAGGAAAGACAGTGACAAGTGACTCATTAAGTCGGTAAGGGACAGGGAAAATTGTAGCATCTCTTAGAGCTATAAATTCACTCCCAAGCAGCCTCCTCTGCTCGCCAAGCTCCAGAACACCCATCGCCCCTGGCCTTGGCCAGGCTTACCAGCTGCCATGGTAGGAAGCATGCTAGACTTTTCTTCATCCATCACAAAAGACCAGTCTTCATAAAAAGTGCTGCAAATTGAAAGAGAAAGGGACAAGGCTCTGAATAGTGGTTCTCTGCATCCCTTAGCCAGACAATGCCATTATATGGCTTCCTGGAAAATCTGTGCCTGGTCATCCCGGAGTGGATATAGGAGGTCTCTGCTGGGCTGAAGCTTCTGGTTATAAACAAAGGATTGACTGCACATAGCCTACGACTTCCTCATTGATCCCCTGAGATCTTCAGAGTCCCCTGAGCTTGAGTACTGAAATAGGCATGAGATGTAAATGTGGTGTTTATGAAGCAGCAAATCAGAAACACTCAAGCAAAGTCTCCAAGAGACAAATAGGAAATGCAAGCTGGCCCACAGGGACCCCCTGACTGGGCTAACACAAGAAGACAGCATTTCAGAAAGAAATTTTAGAGCTCCAGAGCTCTATCGACCAGGGCATATGTACATAATTCTGGCTTGTGCTGAAGACTCAAAAGCCCAAGTTATCCTGGGCAGGGCTGGGAAGCTGAAAAAGCCCCACAAATCTAAATGGTGAGGGAGAGTAGGGGTCAGAGAGGCCTACAGGATCTGATCAAGGTCATGCGGCAATAAATCGTACAGCGGGAGTCAAAAGCAGGTCTCCCAGTCCAATTCCCCAGCTCTTTATCCGGCCCCCTGCTAAGCAATAACAAGCAAATCTTCTCAACCCCCTGACTTCCCAACTAGACCAGAGAACTCTAAATTAATGAAGTCAAAGTACAGTTTCACTAAAGCGCAGTCAGTGATGAGTGACCTGTAGTTCAGCAAGAGACTGGACATATTTGCTGCTGAAGTGACTGAATACAACTAACAGAAAGATTCTGAGAAGAAATGCATCGTTTTTCAAATACCTACCCAGCAACATGTCAGTGGAAGCACAAAGTACATGTTCGAGCTGGCATGACAACTGTACCTGATTCCCAAAATTGTGATTCTTCAAAAATTTGAGCCAGTTATCATGCATGTAAGTATATTTGGTTTTCTCACATTGAGTTAAATAAGTGGCTAGTGATCCAGATAAATTCAACTGTAATTCCTAACAGCAGAATTCATTTCCACTGCTCACTGTTAAATTCAGCTTTAATGTTGAGTGTACAACACTGAACTACTTGCAAACGACCTACGGAAAGAGTTGATGAAAATTCATTTTAAGGAACATGAGTATGTTCTCCTTAACTAAACCTGTCAATGCTTGGGAGGTTCACACGGGCATTCACAGCCTGCCGACTCAGACCCTAAACAGCACACAGGTGCAGCCAGCACCAGTCGTCCAGCCCCCATCACTCCCATTTCAGACCCACAGAGTCTGAAATACAACCGGACAAAACATCACAGACATCAATGGAAGAACTTCAGGGGTAGTTGTAAGAGACCCAACACACAATCCCAGAACGCCTAAGAGGAGACTCAAGCCAGGGAACACACGGCAAGATATGAAACCAGAGGAATGTATCACGGAAATCCCAGATTGTTGAATTAAATGAAATTTCACTGTTGAGGATCTGGGCACTGCTGATGTGAAAGTTATTCAACGGACCAGGGCAGGATTGATCACTGTCCCTTTGTGTCATCAAGTGACACAAAACTAAATATATGGTCCACCATTCTCAGAATAGAAAGAAAAAAAAAAAAGCCAAAGAGAGACAGAGACAGAGAGAGAAAAAAGAGAGACAGTAAAATAAACATCACGCGCACAGGAAAAATGACAGGACCGTCGATGTTCCTGAAGGGAATGTGGCTGACTGCACTACTGTTGGCGCATATTCAATGCCCTCTCCCACCGCTGTGGCATAACCATTCCTCCCCACACTGGTGCGCTTGCCTGTGGCCATGTGACTTGCTGGCCAGTGAAATGTGAATGGGGATTAGGATCACTTTGGGCAGAAGCTTTAAGAGTCAGTGCTTAGTTCAACTACATCTCCATACAGATGGAGCCTCCATCAGCCTGGGTCCCTGGGATAAGAACCCCTGCTCACCCATGACAGACATGAAATGGGAAGAAATAACCATGGCTGTCTCAATCCTCCCAGGTTGTCGTGATGTTTGTTACAGCAGCATAACCTGGCCTATACTACCCGATAGAGTGAACTTTATGACAAAGAAAAAAAGAAAACATAATAAACTGGGGGGTTGTTTCTTAATAGGAAATGACTTCTCTCCCCAAGTTAAAACTTCCATACTCTTTCAGTCTGTTTGAGAGTGATTAACCTCAAAAAAAACAAACAAACAAACAAACAAAAAAAAAACCATAAAGAGTTGTAAAGAACCCAGCACACAAGGAAAGACAAAACACAAAACTAGGCACTAAACACCCAACATCTAAAAAAAGAAATTCTGAATCTGAAAGAAGCTCAAATCAAAATTCCACGAAGTGGAGAGCAGGCTGTGTCCTAAGACAATAGCTTTCTCAACACCCCCAGACTTAATGATAATAAGCATTTATTGAGTACTTGCTGTATTCAGATGCCATGCGGGGCCCTGTACAGGCCTTCTCTCACTTATTCTCCAAACCAAAGTCCCCACAGCACCCCGATCAAACTGGGGCTGTAAGAGTGAAACCCAGTTGCCCCAGATGGAGGAACTGGGATGCAAACCCAGGCATCTGACTGCAGATTCTGTGCTTTCAAGCGCAGGCCCACACCGCCTCCCGGAACCCCCCACGGCTGGTACCTGAGCCTGCTGCGGTCAGCCAGGAGCATGTGCAGGTAGCGCTCCAGCGAGTGCTCGTTGAGGGCGCAGCGCAGCCAGGCCCGGCCGCGGCCCACGTCGGAGGCGATGTGGCGCAGGGAGCAGAAGCGCTGCAGCTCGTGCTTGTTGAGGACCTCCTTCACGTAGAACCAGAACACCGGCTCTGTGGAGACAGCGGGACAGGCGCGCGGCACTCGGCCTGGGGCACACATCGTTTTTAGAGGAATGTTCCCTGAGCGTCTTTGAAGATGGTTAAGTTACTTCCTTAGCACAGAAAAGGAAGATGCTGCAGAGTATACCGAAAATAAAAATGACCCCTGATTCCACCATCTAGACAGCCATTGTTAACGTTTTCATGTATTTCCTTCCAGATATTTTTCCTGTACCTTTCTTTTCTATACAAAATTGACATCTGTGATCAGCTGGATTATAACCCCCAAAGAGAACCATGTCTTAATTCCCGGAATCCATGAATTTTAGCTTATCTGGCAAAGAGAACTTTACAGGTGTGATTCAAGTAAGGCTCTTGAGAAGAAGAGATTATTCTGGGCAGTCTCTGAGGACCTGACATAATCACCAGCATCTTCATAAGAGGGAGCCAGAGGGAGTCTGGACGCAGACAAGGAGAAGGCGGTATGACCAGGGAAGCAGAGATTGGAACAATGCAGTCATAGCCAAGGAATGCCAAAAGCCACCAGAAGCTGGAAGAGGAACCAGAATCTACCCTGGAGCCTCCAGGAGGAACGAGCCCTGCCGTCATCTTGACTTTAGCCTAGTGGACTGACTTTGGACTTCTGTCTTCCGTACTATAAGAAAATTAATTTGTTTTAAGCCACCAAGTTTGTTATAATTTGTTAGCCACCAAGTTTGTTATAATTTGTTAAGGAGTCATGAGAAACTAATACACTATCATATTGTGTTTTGTGTATATATAGATATGCATACATATACATAAAAATACACACATACACACACACACACACACACACACACACACACAAAGATATATAGAATTTTGTACCCTGATTTATTTCTTGTCTTGTCTAGATCATGAACAGTTTCCTGTGACATTTAAATACCTTTGGAAACATGATTTTTGATGGCTTCCCAATTAAACATAATTTAACTATACTGCGGAGAACATGACATTTTGCCAATTTTCCCGCATACTGCTTTGAACATCCTTGTACATAACTAATTGTCCTCATTTCTAGTTCCTTAGGAGAGATTTCCAAAGGTCTGAGATCACAAACAGATTTAAGGCTTTAAGAGAAAACGAAGAACGTTTGTTTTTATCTATAAAATAGTCATTTTACCTCCTCACATCCTGCCTTTTTACCACACCCACACGGTTTTTCATCACTGTAATTCTAGTATCCACCTAATTTTGTGATCCATTTTCTGCACTTAACAGTGGCTCATCGACAGTTTTTCACTCTGCCAATTATAGTAACAGTTACAATAGCAAAAGCCAATACTACTACTTATTGAGCATTAACTACAAACCAGCCATTGCACTAAACATTTTAAACTGACCTCAGTCCTCATAACCGCCAAGGCCATTTCCACATCAAACACAAGGTCCGAGGCCTGCACCGGCGGAACTCATCCAGTGACATGCATTCAGTAAGCAACACAGCAGAACAAGACCTCAGAGCTGTCTAACTACATCCCACAAAATCACACTGCCTGTGAAGTGAGGGGGCATCCACCTTCTTCAAATGGTCATGTTCACAGCTGCTTAATAGTCAAGGGAGAAAATGCTGAGTCTGCTGCCAGATGGGGATTCTAATCCGGGAGCTAAACAGGCTCACAGACCCCTCTGAGAATGTGACGAGACCTGTGACGCTCCCCTGCAGAAGGATGCACACACACACACATCTCCGTAACTGGACGCCAGGCTAATAAGCTCACTAATAATACAGCTCAGCTGGCCTTGACTGCATTCTAACCAGAAGCCATGAGCTGAGAGAGGCTATGGGCCACCAGAGTCAAGAAGGGCTTGTCCCTAACAAGATTCCAGTCTAGTGGGCAGGACAGCAGGCGAAGAAATTGTTCAATGGAATGACCTCAGGCAGGTCACTGGACTGTGCTAAGCTTTGGATTCTTCTCCAATAACATAAGCCCCGACGCACAGAACTGCCTGGGTTACCGGGGTAACTGGAAGAACGGGAAGTAACGCACTGAGCACGATGCCCAGCTCTTGATGACCAACCATGGTTTACTGAGGAATTACCCTCTCCTACGGGAGCATTTGTGTTGTTTCCTCTCTTCCTTTTTCTGTTAACAGCATCTAAGTGTATGTGTACACATGAGTGTGAGCGGGCGTACGTATTTGTGGATCCTGCCAACTTCTGGGATCATTTACAGTAAACGCCCAGGAACAACAAAAAACCACAAACTGGGCAGTTCGCTCACCTTCTGTCCCAGTACCTAAAAGTCAGACCAATCCCTTTCGCCATCAGATCAGCCCAAACCACACAAGTGCATAATACTTTCTTTCCTCTCGAAGCCTCTCTCAGAAACTAGGACCAGGGTTACTCGGTGGGAGCAGCAACCTGTTTTGAAACATAAGCAGACAAACATCTGTCTATCCATCACAATTTAAATCAAGTGACTCTCACCTGCAGCCTGTCTTTCTCGAAAACTGCAGTCACCTCCCTCTGACCTTGAATGCACATGAAACACTTGAAGGTGTGTTTTCGCCTTTCAATTTTGCAAATTGCTTACTGCTACAGAATCCTGAAGCATGCCAGAGCGATGCTGTAGGTGATAAGAATTATCCCAGCAGGGCTCCGCTTCCACTGCTAGAATTAATGTGATCTATTTAAAGTGCAGCTCACCTGCCACTTAATGCTTGCAGTGTCCGTAATTTAATTTGGGAATATACACCGACCTCCTACTGCTTTGAAATAAGGGGCTAATTCTAAAACTGAGTGAGGGCTTCTGGTTCCCCCAGTTCCTAAAAGCCATCTGCCAACCAGAACAAGAGCCAGGAAGGGATGTCGAGGAGAATGACCTGGGGCCACTCGTTAATAGAGGATGACTAATAGCACAAGGCCTTTGGCAAAGTTTCTAACAGGCTTCAAGAATTCAAGAATTCATACTTCCGGAGGCCAAAGATGATCAAAACCTTGGCTCCAATTCTAATGCAGATGATGTGACCTTGGGCAACTTATCCTGTCCTTCATCTTCCTCACCTGTAAAATACGGTTTGCTATGAGGGACAAAATGAGAAAATAGAGCATACATGTCAAGTGCTTAGTGCCAAAGCACCGAGGCAGCAAACAGCATCCCCTCCCCTTTTCTTCTGGAAGCAGCAATCCCCTTTCCCAGGGGAACAGTGTCCCATCGGAACCTTCCCTCCCACAGGGGTGGGCAGGTTGCCGGGCTGGGCAATCACTTGGCCACAGCAGGGCGTGTGCCTCCACTCGCCTCGCTGGCCCCACCCTCATCCTGGCCCTGTTTGACAGTTTGTGCATCATGGATTTTTTTCTGTATTAATCTTGATTTGTTTAACATTGCATGAAAATATTATTCATCTTAATTGCTGAGTTTTTTGATGCTCCCATAAATTCTGTGGCTGAAATGAGTGCCTCACTGACCTCGCCCCAGTCCCAGCCTGGACCACAGGGTCCTGCCCACGACTTCTACCTGAACAACCAGAAGAGAGAGGCCTTGTCTCCTTCTAGAACTGAAGTCCACAAACAATGGCCCAAGGACCAAATTCCGTCTACCACCTGTTTTTGTCGGTGAAGTTTTATTGGAACACAGGCCCACCTATTTGTTTACATATTGTCTGTGGCTGTTTTCCTGCTACTAAACAAGTTGGCAAACCTCAGGAGCTGCGACAGACCTATGGCCTAAAATACTTACTATCTGATCCCTTAAGGAAGTTTGCCAACCACTATTCTAGAAGTAGGAGCTCTAAAAATCATGTAATCCTGGAGCTATTTCCCCCCTGGGACCTGGGACCATTTCCCCCCTACCATGCAGAACGAGCCCACCTAGGGAAGACGCCAACTCTGAGAGAAGTGGGCTGAGAGAGGGAGACAGATGTAGGGGTGCTGAGCCCCTAATCCAGCTCCACCCCTAGATTTCTTAGTTACTTAAGTCAGTAAGTGCCCTTTTTTGCTTAAGTCTAAGTGGCTTGCTGTCACTTGCAAGCAGGGGAAGCCTAATGCAGTGAGATAGGGTATGTTCTTCAATCATTTGACAATCATTTATAGAGACTGACAAACATGCCACGCACAGAGTAATGCCCTCAGGCACTGAAGTGGCAAATGCATCGTGCAAAATAAACAACAAAAAGCATTACTCAACAAGAAACAAACAAACAAAAAAAAAACACTGACAAAGTTCTAGGCTCCTTGTAAAACAAAGAAAGGACTATTGTCCTCAAATACTCAATCCGAAGGCAGACAGCTGGTTCAGAGCCTCTGTCATGGGCAGAATCTCCAATCTCTTGACCTTCACCTACCTCACTGTCTCAGAAGACTGTCGCCACTTTAGGAAAAATGCCCACAACTGCAGCAGAAAGAAAGAGGACAAGATAAAGCCAGCTCTATCACCGTTTTTTTTCAGGCAAAGATAAGGAATCCCTGAAAACCACAAGGAAGTGGAGAATAGGATGTCAAGGCTGGCTTCATCACTCACCACCCTTTACCTAGAGAAGGATATCCCAAGCAAAATCAGGTTCTATTAAGCTAAAGAAAAAAAAGAGAAATAGATTTTAGGTAGGAAAGAACAGAGTCAACCATTTCAGGAACAAAAAGGAAACCACGGGCTTCTGTATTCCAGCCAGAGACCCGGGTGCACAGGAGCTCCTGAATCCCAGTCATGTCCCCAAGTGGACGAGCCTGACTACAAGACACAGTGGATACACAAAGAGCTGTAGCTTTGTCACTTGGCCATCTCCCAACCAGCCATAAGACTGCCTCCTGGAACCAGAATGCAGAGACTGTGGTTTAAACACAAACATAATAAAGACTTGTACAAAGTATGTACACTTGATCATTTTGTTTGCTTTTTTCAATTATAAAACATGCACGACAACATTGACCATTTTTTAGTGTATTATTCAGTGGCACCAAGTACATTCACGATGTTGTGCAACCATCACTATTAATTCCAGAACCTTTTCATCATCTCAAACAGAAACTC